AGTACTGTATATATATATATATATATATATATATATTATAAAAAGAGGCTAGGTTTTTGTGTTAATTTTGCAGAAGCTGGTGTGATGTTAAGGTGTTTCTGATTAGATCATGATCAAAATCTTGCATAAAATAACGTCTAATTGGATGAAAAATGCCTGTTTGATCCATTTAAAATTAACATTAACCATTTGGAAATAACATATAAAAGCAAAAATGAGATCTAAAAGCATAATGTTTATTTTTTTGTCTATATATCACTGACATGCTGATATGTACTCCTGCAATTTCTGTCAATGAAAATCTGTCCAGAGAAATCCAATAAACAAATACTGTTTACCTACTCTTAGGGGAAATGTATTCAGAACTTTGTACTGGTTTCATTGTTATTCTTCATCATAAATTAACCCTTCGCTCAGCCCAAAATAAACCATAATAATTAGGTTAGTTCGGTTATATCATTTGCATTTAGCAATGTTTTTCCTTGCTGTCAAAACACTATGTATTGTGACCCACCTATAATTTTGCATGCAAGCATTTAGAAAGCACAACAATCAATGGACAAACCACAAAAGAATTTTAAATGCCAGAAAAAAAAACAAAAAAAAATGTTTTATTACTTGAAACCTCACAGAGACCTCACAGAGAGTGCAGCCGAGGTCTGGCCGAAAAACAGACAGAAAGCTAGAAGTGACAGCGGGCAAAGAAAACAAAATAACTGTCGCCCCCCCTCCCCTCTCTCATTTAAACCACTTGGACTTTGCAAACTTTCCCACTACCTCCATCACATCACAGTTTTAAAAAACAGACACCAAAAACAACAACCATCTCAGAGCACTACAATACCACATAGGACTGACTCTGGCTAAACCCCGCCCATCATTCACCAATGGAATACTAACACCGTAACCATCTCCCCTTCTGAAACTAACCGCACCGGAACTCGTTTGAAGCAACGGACTTCCTCTGGTTGGCAAAATGTATTCGCTTAAACACAAATCTGAGGGTTTTTCCAAAAATTGGGTCGGCTCGGGACGTTCTTGCTTTAGCCCGGTAATACTTCATGCTTAGCAGACGTCTGGATCTGCATTCATTTACACAGCTAGTGTGATGATGGTCAGATGAAAACCTTTCCAAGAGTCTAACGGGTTTAAAGTAGCAACACTTTCTGAACACAACGGCGCCATCAAGTGGCACAACCAAGTATTTCTCAGAAAACAAGACACAAACTATATAATAATAGCAATAATACTCTCCTCTAGCTTCTGATCATTGGACCAGCCAGTAACCGGATGGATCTCAAACACTTATTTTTCAACAAATTTACAGTTTTAGTTGGCACTGGACTACACTAGCTTCTGTCTGATACTGAAAGATGGTCAATACAATAAAGAAAACAAGGAGAGGAAAGTATCCTGTGTTTTCATACTTAAGATATTCCCTTGCGAGCTCGTCAACAGTGCAATAGTGCAACGCCGGATAAATAAATAATAATGTAAACACATGACCGAATTCACAAGCGCGGACCAAAACAGGAGCAGAATCATCACGCCAATGGGCTGGTGATCCGTTTGCCGTATGTGACCAAAAAGGATGTGGTTGAGGCATGACGTGGCAAAGGGAGGGAAGAGATCTTTCGGTTCCACCAATGAGGTCCCATATGAAGGCACTGATTATCTGTAACTGGTGAATTACGTTGCTGGACTGTGTTTGTGGCGCAGTTTGTCTTTTTGTACCAGGAGGAAGAACAGCAATCCACAGATGAAGCTTCGGTCCGTCAAACGAGTCCTTAAAGATCGGGAGTCGTCCGATCCTGACATACTGATCCAAGTGAGATAATTTTGTCGCATTGTTTCTGGGTCGTTTTGTTTTTTTGCGTTACATTCTTGTCATATTAGATGGTGACATTCTTGAGTAAAAATCTTCTTCTGATATGGGGTAGAGCACCTGGGACAACGGATCTCACACTTGCCCTGCTTTGCATCCCCCCGGAAAAAAAAAAAAAACAGTAAAATCAAGGCCGAAATCCAAAGAAGAGGAACTAAAATGGATGCGAGCGTTCTCTGAATGGACTGAGGGAAGATACTCACCAACTTCTGTGAGGTTTCTAGACATTTACAAGGGAAAAGAAACAGCAGTTTTTCTCAACGTGTGACGTCCCTTAAAAGTCCTCTTTTTCTGTCTTTTGTTTTTTTTTTACTACAACAAATACAGTCACACAATACAACATCCTTCTGACCGGGCAAGAAGCTGTAGTAATAGAAGACGAAAAAACGAAAACAAAAAAGCAATCTGAGCCACAGACATGCCAAAGATGATTCAGAATCTGGGCCTATGGAGGAAAAAAACAACAACCAGAGAAGACCGTGTGTATGTGTGTGTGTGTCTGTGTATGCGAGAATGAGTGTAGGTCTGTTGTGGTGGGAAACAAGCATTCATTTTTTCAGGGGCTGGTAAACAGATGCGTTGGGGTCCAGTCCTGACGGACTGGTGTCCATGAACTTGGAGGAGTAATGGGGCGTGACTGGGGTCATGCTGCCCGTATCTGCGGAATACACCACGCTGGGCATGACGGCCATGACCTCTGCTATCTTCTGCTTCAGGTCTTTAATCTCCTGGTCTTTCTGCAGAATTTGACCTAAAAAAAAAACATATCCAGACAGAAACAACTAAGTGTTTTTCCACGTTTGGGGATGTTTTTAGTAAAGACATAAACTACCGTTTAAAAGTTTGTGGTCGATTTTTTTTAACAGTTTAAAAGTAGTCTCTTCCGCTCAAAAAACATTAATATTATAGAATTGTATTAGTATTTAAAATAACTTTTCTATTTGAATATATTTTAAAATGTAATTTATTCCTGTGATGGTAAAGCTGAATTTTCAGCATAAAAAAAAAACAAAAACAAAAAAACAATTAGAGACCCTAAACTTTTGAGTTTGATCTTCTGTAATGTAGTTCCCTCAAAAATTTTAATTCTTTCAAGCAATTCCAGAAAAAAAGTTAGTAAATGATGACAGCATTTTTATTTTTAACTATGTTTTTCCGATACTTGAGAAGTGTGGGTAATCTGGACAAAAGAGTGTGATGGAAGACCTTGTGCGATCTCCAGCTGTCTCTTAGCGTCTCCGAGGGCAGAGAAGAGGTCCAGCTTGATTCGGGTCTCAGCGCTGAGGCTGTTTTCCAGGTGCTGGGTTTTATCCTGCATCGCTGACAGCGCTGACATCAGAACTTCTGTGTCCTTCTCATTTTCCTTATATATATGTAGCTCCTAGAAAGACATGATAGAAGGAGTTGTCTATTTTTATACTTTTTCTCCACTTACAGAAGAATCAGAAGATTTTGAAAGAGATTCAGAGCTAATATGGCAATGAACGTCTCCTCACTTGAACTTTGAGTTCCAGCTCTCTGACTTGATCTTCTTTCACCTTGATGTCAAGCGTGAGTTTCTTACACTCCGTCTCCAGCTCAGAAATCCTCCTCCTCAGAGACTCTGTGCACTCACCTCTGACACACACAAATGACACACGTTAGTTCACATACAAAAAGTGTTAAATATCCTGCAGTTGTATGGAAAGAAATAGACTGAACAGATCTCATGAAAGTGAAGATATAACTGACAAGGGAAAAAAAGAATCATGTGAGAAACAGACAGAATGAATGATGAAGGCAAAGCTATAAAAAAGCAGTCATTTTTAGAAAATTAAAAAGAATGGAGTGGCAGAAAATATCACAAAATAGTATGGCATGCATGTTATGTATGCTTCTATTCAAAGGTTTGTGGTCAGTAAGATTTTTTTTCCACAAGTAATTACTTTTATTTAGCAAGGACACATTAAATTAATTTAAAGTGACAATAAAGACATTTATAATGTTATAAAAGATTTCTATTTCAAATAAATGCTGTTCTTTCAAACTTTATAATCAAAGACTGGAGTATTGGCTGCTGAAAATTCAGCTTTGCACTACAGGAATAAATTACATTTTAAAATATAAAAAAAAGAAAATAAAACCGTTATTTCAAATTGTAATAATATTTCACAATATTACTGTTTTTACTGCATTTTTAATCAAATAAATTCAGCCTTGGTTAGCATGAAAGACTTCTTTCAAAAACACCGAAAAATCTTAATCTCACTTTTGATTAATTTAATGAATCCATGCTGACTTTGAAAAAGTATAAATTTTTTTAGGAAAAAAAAAACACTTTTGAATGGCATAATGAAATGGAAAGGAAGAGAATGGAATGCACAACATATAATGGAATGGATGTTAGGAAATTAAATGCAATGGAATGATGGGAAGGTGTGTCATGAGCACCTGGTTGCCGCAGCGAGAGCGACTGCACGGGCTGCTGTGGCCTCCTCCAGCTTCTTGCGTTTCTTTTCCTCTGCTAACTGTTTCTCTGTCGCAGCACGAGCCTCCTGTTCTGCCTTCAGACGCTTCTCCAGCTGCACCACTGTCTGCTTGTCCTTCTGCTTCGCCTGCACGGCATTATGAAGTCTGAAAACAAAAACAAAAAAAGAGTTTGCATTACTACAAGTACAGTCCCCTGTCTGCTCTGCGCTCTCTTAAAGGGGTCATATGATGCGATTTCAATTTTTCCTTTCTCTTTGGAGTGTAAAAAAGAGTTTGCATTACTACAAGTACAGTCCCCTGTCTGCTCTGCGCTCTCTTAAAGGGGTCATATGATACGATTTCAATTTTTCCTTTCTCTTTGGAGTGTTACAAGCTCTTGGTGCATAAAGAAGATCTGTAAAGTTGCAAAGACTAAAGTCTCAAATCCAAAGAGATATTCTTTATAAAAGTTATACACAAAATAATGTTCTTTTTAGCAGCATCATATGACCCCTTTAAAGAGCAAACTGAAGGTGGGATGTCTCACTTGTTTTGCAGTAGTTCGTTCTCCTGCCGCAGCTGTCCGAGCTCAGAGCGTATGCTGCGTTCAGAGCTGCCTAGAGAGCCCAGCTGACTGCGCAGATCCTGTTCGGTCTGTCTGCTAGCCTGCAGGTCTGCCTTCAGCTTCTTAACATCCTGCTCCAGCCTAAAACATGCAAACATTCACTTCAGGTCATAATGAGTCATGATAAACGTGAATCAGGAAAAAGGACTGCACTTCCTAAAACAGTACCTATCTAGACAGCATTTCTGGGGGCATCTAAACTTGCTCAAGGCATGATATAAACACCAATGTTGCACAAAAATGCTGTCTAAGCAGAAACTAGATGATATATGTTTTGAGGTAATTGGTGGTTTCTCCCAGATTTGAGGTATTTGGCGGTCTGCAACTTCTGTTGTACAATTGTTAATGTTTTGAGTACCACCCTATTTTAATAATATAATTGAATGTATAGGTATCTGAAGAAGAACTAACCCCATATCTGAATAGGTCTATTTCCTACTATATAGTAAGTGAAAAATAGTATACCAAAAGAGAAGCAAGCCTAAATACAGTTTTTGAAAAACAGTAAGACCCGGATGACATAATATTTCTATCAAGATTTTAAAGTGTACAATCTGATGGGCACTTTACTATCCCATGAGGCTACAGGGGGAGAAGTTGTGAATGGTGGGAAAGTGCCTCATGGTCATGACAACACAGATAATATGTCCAGATTGCATCAATACTACACAAATATACACATACCTTTTTAAGTTCTTCATAAAATGTAGTACCTATTCTGGCAATTCTACAAAATTTCAAACTCAGCCTGTTACCCTAAAGGTACGGTCACAGTTACATTTCTGTGAAATGATGTGGGCATCATCAATTACATACCAAACAGCTTTCTGCTGGTCAGTGCAGCAAATTCACATGACCAACTTGAAACCGATGCGAAATCCATGTGGGGAAATCTTACGCCGACAAGCAAAATCCCAGATTGCAACTGAAATGACTCTCGACCATCAAAATTCGCAGAACAACAGCAAATGGACAACAATTTAAATAAAAAAATGCAGTTTAAAGTTCAGAGTCAATGTGAACTCAACAAGAACAGATTTCTTTTTCACTCGGTTCACTTTTGGGTAAACTGAAAAAAGTCAAAGTGTGTTTCTTAATGCTTTCTATTGAGTGTCAGGAAAAAGTTTACAAAAAATGACTGTTTTCTTTTATGTGTAGTGTTTTCGCACAACCTTTTGAACATTAAAGCTGCCGTTTTAACATGAAGCCCAGATTTTGAGAAGGATGATGCGTGTCTAACCTGATGAGCGCTTCGGGTTTGCTCAGCTGATTGTTGGGAATGCAGTTTTCCACAGGGTCTCTGTTTGACGCCGAGTTCTTCCCTCCTCCACACTTCTGTTTCCTGTCCCCCTTACCCGAGGAAGAGGCGGACGACGAAGGCCCGGAGGAAGACGGCACGCTGCCATTGGCCGTTCCGTGCCCCCGGGGTGAGGAGCTCCCTCCCCCTCCTCCTCCGCTGGCATTTTTGTAATTTTTGTTGGAGTTGGAGGAGGAAGAAGAGGAGGAGGATGAAGAGTGTTCCTCTTTCAGCAGGTTCTCAGTGCTGCCCAGCAGGTCTGAGCTGCTGCTCAGTCTCTTACTGTTCACGTGGTTCTCCATGTATTCCATCTCCTGAGCTTTACTGTCCACTGACGGTAAGATGCTGCTGCTGGTGCTGCTGTGATGGTTCTGGTTGTGGTTGTGTTGCTTTTTGGACTCGTTCTTGCCTCGTTCTTTCTCTCTGTATTCCAGCTCTGGTAATGTGTTGGATGAGGGTTTTTTACCGCCCGCCGAGCCGTTCTGTGCCACAGCTGGAGAGTCTACATCATGAATGCCTTTAGATGCTGCTGCTGCTGCTTATGAAAGAAAAATAGAGACTTAAAAAGAATAGTTTATACAAAACAGAAATATTTGCTCAGCCTCATGTCACAACTGCTATGAACAATTTTTGAAGTATCTTCATGCAGCTCTGTATATACAATGTCAGTTCAAAGCTGTCATGAACCAAAAAGGACAAAAACACTTTAAAAATGCATTTGAAGTAGTCCATCTAACTCGTGCACTATGTTCCTGGTCATACAGAACACACTTAAATGTAGGTTGTGTTTCCCTCCTTTTTGGAGCTTGACAGCTGTGGTCAATAAAGAGCTGTGTAGAAACCAAATACGGTTGAGTGAACTATTCTGTTAGGAGGCACTGTGCAAAGCCCTTACCCTCTTCAGCTTCTCTCTCTTGTCTCTGTATGAGCTGTTGTTCTGGAGGTAGCGCCTGCTGCAGCAGCTGCATGTAAAATTCGTTCTCTTTCTGTACTTCCTTCTGTTTCCGCAGACGCATCTTATAACTTACATAACTCTTAAAACCAAAGCCCAGCGTCACCACCGGGTACCCGATACTGTGAACACAAAAAGAAATAGGACGTCATATGATTAGCATTGTTGGAGGAAAAAGCAACACTTAAGACACAAGTAAGAACTAGGGCTGGGCGATATGTCAAAAATATCTTCTCGATAATCGCCTTAAAAAATATTGCGATATCCGATAATACCGTCTACCTAAGCCCCACCTCCACCACGCCCGGCCCTCGCCGAGACAACATTGCCGACATGCACCATAAACACACAACATGTTCAGTTTGGTCTTAATTATTGCCACAAAGTTTGGTTTTACTTTTCTTAGTTTGTGCTTAAACTGACAGAAAACATTAGCTTTGCTGTTATTTTGGTGTTGCTAATAATTTCCACTCTGTTCTTATCAAATTTATGTTTGAAATGAATTTAGTTTTGTGAGGAGAACTGTTGAGGAAAAATAATAGAACTAAATTTTAAGTTCATCATGGTGAAGTTGGACATTCTGGCGGTGATTGTAAGAATGATAAATGCATGTTAATGTCATATAATAATGTCTTGAATAAAATATGCCTATTTTCCGATGTTTCTCTTTCTTTTTGGCATTATCGCCTGTGTAGACACATTTCATGATGGTAAGTTTAATTTCCTTAATTATAACAATTGCAGCGTATCAAAATACAATGGCCACAATATAATATTCAGTGCTGGGCTGCCGAAACTCCGAATGTGTGCATGTTGAGGGGCAAGCTGAGAAACCTATAATGGCTTCATCCGTTTGCAACAAAACTTTATAGTTTTGTTGCAAATTAATTAACTTTTATTAAACTGCAGATCAAAATAGAATAGGCCTATACCCTAAATAAGGATACATTATTTTGGAACGCATCTCCAAAATAATCGCATACACAGATGCACGTTGCAATTACAGTAGCCAGCGCCGAACAACAGGCAAATAAAATATAAACTGAGGTTACAAAAGTGATTCAGTCAAGATCAGTGAGGGATTTTCTTTCCTTTTGTTCTTTGATTAACATTATAATTAATTAAACATAAATATGTTATACACGGTTTAAAAAATCTGTAAAAATATTGCACTGAATGTGTGCTAACGGAATTTGCGTATTTTAATTATAACCGTCATGTTTGTGGTTTTTCATCATTATAAAGCATTAGCAATTAATCGCAACATGAAAATTTGATACCGGCATATCCCTAGATCCAATACACCCTTGTTTTCTTTCTCAACTCTTTACGTTCACTTAAGACAACTACCGATTGTATTTATGGGATATTTTGATATAATTCTGTGTTTCCAGTGTTCGCGTATATAAGAGGCGGCTTTTGTGCGTGCGCTTTGTGTGTGTGTGTAAGAGAGAGAGAGTGAGTGTGTGTGTGTGTGTGCACAGAAAACAGCGCGCGAGTGCAGAAGTGAGTTCTATTTCGTCTTCTTGCAGTT